CAAGTCCAGTCCTCAAGAGCTACCATCTTGTAAGTTTTAGATGCATCTCTTCTCTAGCACACCTGAATCTAACCTCATTTAGCCCACCAGAGGCATGGTAACGAGCCACTTATTTGATTCAGGTGTGTTAAAAATGGTTGCATCAAAAAGTTGCAGGATAGTAGCTCTTGAGGACTGGACTTGAGCACTCCTGGGCTAGAGCTTTATTGCAGAATGACAAATGTCATTACCTGGTCTCTAAAGCTAAGCCAAACCACACTACAAACTTCTCTTACTTTGACATCATTCTTCCAATCTCTATCAATACCTCATCACCATGGGTGCCAGAGGATAGAAAACACCATAAATCTGGTGCTTTTTTTGCTTACCTCCTTCTTTGTCCTGACAACTACTCACATGACCCTAATCTATCTAGCCATATCCTGCTAGTTTTTAAGTGACTTTACCATCAATGCTAAACAAGACACCAAAGCAATCAAACTCCCTCTGTTAAGGCAAAGATGAACCCCCTATCCTAGAAGGAGTATCCCACCTTTCTTTTTTTTTTTTTTTGAAAAACAGAGAAAATGCAATGGACTCCTGGCTGAATCACAAGGTACTTCAATGCATACTTAAAATCCTGGCTTGACTGGAAGTACATAATCTGCTAAAATAAAATCTAATTAGGTTCCAAAACCAGGAACTCACCTTTCGATTAGTACAACATGGGATCCTCTCCAGAAACAGGTCAAACAGGATGTGGGGTAAATTGCAGCCCTGATAGAGTCCAACCCCACAGTGAACAACTTCAACCTTGTGCCAAGAATCAAAGAGACAGCTCTTTTTCTGGTTCTAGAAGGATTGTCTAGCACTTAAAAATATCTTGAACACCCAATGTTCTAAACAAATACAAACCGGCCACAATGGAAAATTATTTTTCAGGAATAAATAGGTGGGTCATCGATTTGATAGACAAATCTGAGAGAATTGACAATGATTCCTTGAGAAGGTTAAGACATTTTCCGAGGAACTGAGCCTCCGATTTAAGGATGTGTTGTGATCCCCTTCATAGATGAAACACAGTTTGGTTCCTTTGGTTTGCTGTTTGTCTATTTCTTGCATAGAGCATCCTATTAGTCACATTTATTTTTCTTCAAACATGTAAATATTTATATAAAAAGGGAAATATGTCTTTTTAAAAGTAACTTTTTTCTAAATCCAAAACATTTGTTTTTTGTTTGTTTGCATTGCTGCAAAGACAATTAATTGCCCCAGCATGTAATTTGGCTACATGCTGAGGCATCTCTGCCTTGCCCTTCAAAGAGAATTGTAAATTGTGTTTAATAATAATCATAAATATGTAATCACTTTGGCATACTTTATGGTTAACGCACTGCCATATTTGAATCTCTGCACATTAAACAACACTATATACTGTAAGTGAAAACTGAAATTGCTGTTTATATGGGTTTTTTCCCCTCCTAGGATAGTGGGTGTTTGGTTGATGAGGCTAACACGGTAGCTGCTGGAACCAGGGATTAATGCGCTCTGCTGCTGTTTTACACTTTCTGCATGCTCAGCTAAATGTTGTAATTTTTAGGGGTGAGGCAAAGACTAATCTGAAATTCTCTTAAAGCGCTGAAAAGAAATGGGTGAGTTGTTACGTACACAAATATCCCTGGATCCCCCTGCCGATACTCAGCTGTAATGATACAGACTGGGCCAAAGCCTGTTTTATATCCCCTTGCTCTCATCAGTATGCCAGAGTTTTGCTGAATTGATTTTCTAGCAGCACTTCCACAGTTAGACACTCGGTTTTTCACACACTGCATCAGAAACACGTTGTCCTTTTGACTTTGATGGGGGGAGAAAACACAGATGTCTTTTTCACTTTTCCCACTCGGCCCCAGATGTTAGCCAGTTTTCCCGGCCCATCTCCATTAGCACGTGGATTAATTTCTGCTCCTTATCAAGTCTAGATGTAATAACCAGCCTTGGAAGGCAGTTCTTTTCTTTTTTCTTTTTTTCCTCCTGAGCTGCCATCCTCACATCCCAAAACTGATAGCAGGGCAGACGCATCAGAGAGGATTAGGCTAATGTGATGGTAGAGCCACCTACAAGGGACCCCCACAGGATAATTTTAAGAGACAGTCCTTGACATTCAGGGAATAACTTGTCAAGACCTGGCTACAGGCAAATATTGAGGATATTAATCCTTAATGTAATGGCCTTGACTAGATTTTACTCTTCTCTCTGTGAGCAGCTTTAAGCACAGTCATAAGTCTCTTTAATCACTGACATAAAGCAGTCCCTCAAGGATTCTCCTGAGTTTTACAGTAATTATTGCATGGCAGGGAAAAAAACACTTGTGTTTTTCACTCTTGTCTGCGTGAGAAATTGCCAGGCGATTTGCATAATGTTTGCCGTTAATTTTCACAGGTTTGATGATATGCTGGTGGAGGAGTGTTTCGCTTTGCTGCAGTAAAAATGGGTGTGAAAACATAATTTACGTCATTTTACAAAGGCACCTTTTGGGGATGGTTTAGGGCTTCCTTTGCCCAAGCTACTGTTTGAGCTGGTCAAGGGAGTTTGTTTTACAAATTTGGTTTAAAGAAAAGTTAATATAACCAACAGTTTTCAAATTAACTCTTGTTTGTCTCCAGTTATATGTTCTAGAATTAAGGGTAGGGAAAATATTAAATATCAATAAATATCATATGGGACGACAATAGTGTCAGATGCGGAAACTTGCCCTGCAATAAAGGGTTGTTGGTTCAAGCCCCTGGCTTTCAGTGTCGTTGAATCCTTGCGCAAGACACATTACCTACATTGCCTGATGGTGGTCAGAGGTGTCATGATGGGATTAAGGTTCCTAACCCACATGCAGAACACAACGGAGACTTATGAAGAGTTTGACTGTTTATTAAGAAAAAACACAAAGTTAAGCACTGATGCTGGGAAACAGATCCGGGACTGGTCATACAGGGTTCTCTGCAGAGGGGGATAGTTAGGTTAGCCAGGATGCAGTTGATCTTGTCAGAGGAGTTGTGCAGGTCTACCTTTGATGTGGTTCAGGCTGAGCAGCTGAGGGGGGGATCCAGGAGGGTCCAGAGGCAGGTGGCTGGCAGAGGGCTAAGCAACGGTAGGGCTTGACTTCAGACTTATCAGTGTTCAGGTCCAGAGTTTCTTCCGATCCTCTTCTTGAGAGCGGACAGGCAGGTTCAGACAGTTAGATCCTTCAGATGAGCTCCTGAGAGCTGGCAGGCAGATTTCAGCAGAGAAACTCTTCCAGAGTTCCAGGGTTCAGTCAGGTTTCTTCCTAAGAAGCAGAGAAGACAAAACTGATTAGGTTCAGGTTCTGGTTTCAGGGGAGTCAGAGAATCAGACAGGCTGGTTGGCTCAGGTTTCGCTAACCAAAACTGGCTTAACACTCTGGCGCTGGAGTGTAGTCCTGCCGCTGCTTATATGCTGGTCTCCTGATGACTGATGAGTCGCAGGTGTGGTCGTCAGCTCAGTTCCAGGAGACCTAGGGCGCCCTCTGCAGGAGGAAGGTGGACAGACCTCAAGATCCCAACAAGAGGGCCTGGTGTCGCTTCTGTCAGTGCTAGCTTGCCACCATCAGCGTCTGAATAGGTGAATGACTGAATTAAGTTTAAGGCGCTCTGTTCAGTATATATATATATATATATATATATATATATATATATATATA